TCAAACCCTGGGAATGTCCGTATCTTTAATATGAAGAAGAAAAATGGTTATGAAACTAACAAACAAGGACCTAAGAAGACATGGGTACCTAAAGTTAAAAACTAACATTTTTCTTGCAATATTGATTTACAGTCTCAAACACCAAATGATATCTTGACAGTAGTTGTTCAAAGCATTTGACAGGTGACAAAACATTATTCTCCACATTCTTTTCTAAGGAAGAAAGATCTGTCTCTTATGGAGAAAATAATAAGGGAACAAATTTAGGTTTTGACACCATTAGTAAGTTCCCAAACCAACGATCAGAGAAGTTCTCTTGGTAAAAAGACTTAAGCATAATTTGCTCAACCTAAGTTAACTATGTGACAGACATAACAATGTAACATTTAATTCTTTTGGTTGTAAAGTCATAAAATCAAAATCAAATGAAACTTCATTTACTAGCTCAAGAAGTGGAAATATTTACACAGTGAATCTAAATAAGATCCCTTCAAGTGATGTATGTCTTTTAAGTAACAAAGATGAATCTTTTCTATGACATAAAAGAACAACTCACATCCACATGGATCACTTGAACAAATTGGTTCGCACGGATCTCATAGATAGCCTGCCAAACTTACATTTTGAAAAGAATCGATTATGTGATGCATTCAAAAAAGGGAAGCAATCGAGGTTTTTTTTAATCTAAAAATTTAGTTTCTACTCATCGACCCTTGAAACTGCTTCACACGGACCTTTTTGGCCCATTTAGAACTGTAAGTCTAGGTGGAAACGTCTACGCCTTTCTAATTGTGGATGACTACTCTCGCTATACTTGAACATTATTTTTATCTCATAAAAGATATGCATTTACTGCATTTTGAAAACTAACCAAGGTTATCCAGAATGAAAAAGGTGTAAGCGTCACATCTATAAGAAGTGACCATGGCGAAGAATTCAAAAATGAGAAATTAAAAAGCTTTTATAACGATGATGGTATTCGACACACCTTTTCCACTCAATGAACTCCCCAACAAAACAAGGTAGTAGATAGGACAAATAGATCTCTAGTAGAGCTTGTGAGGATGATGCTCAATGAGACCAATATTCTTAAATATTTTTATGCTGATGTTGTAAACACCACTTGCTAGGTCATGAATCATGTCTTGATATGACCGATTCTAAAGCGGGCACCCGATGAACTATGCAAATGAAGAAAGTTGGAAATCTCTCACCTACACGACTTTGATTGCAAATGTTTTATACTTAACAACGAAAAATATAACCTTGGAAAATTTGACACAAAAGCTGATGAAGGCGTATCCATATGATATTCCACTTCAAGAAAAGCTTTCAGAACCCATAAAAAATGACTAAGACAACTAAAGAATCAATTCATGTTATCTTTAATTAATTTAACCTCAAACATGTAGAAATAGAAATTGTTAATTATGCAGGTATCTTGGAAAAAAACAAGTTTGGAAGATAATCAAGAGCTATACCAAGAGAAAAATGAAAATCAAGTCACATCGGAATAAACAACTCAGGATCAAATCCCAAACACTCCATAAGAACATTCCGATCTCCTAAAGGAATAAAGACTGACAAAAGAACATTTGATCCATAATGTTATTAGAGATATATACAAGGGAGTCACTTCTCGATGATCTCTCAATAAGGTATGTAACTTTGTAGATTTTGTTTCACAAATTAAGGTAATGGGAATTAATGAAGCTATAGTAGACGAACATTGGTCACTTTCTATACAAGAAGAATTAAATCAAATTGAACAAAGCAATGTTTGAGAACACGTTCCCAAAACTTTAGCTAATATAGTAATTGGTACCTAATGGGTCTTTTGCAACAAGCTGGATGAAAATGGAAATTTTTTAAGATATAAAATTAGACTCATTGCGGAGGGATACAATCAATATGAATGAATAAATTTTGATGAAACCTATGATTCTATAGCTAGATTAGAAGTAATATGAGCATTATTGGCCTTATCTTATATCATGAATTTCATATGGATGTAAAAAGTTCTTTTATAAATGGTTACATCCAATAAGAGGTAATTGTCAACCAACCTCTAGGTTTTATCAACCCAACCTTTTCATGCCATTTTTTAAATATTAAGAAGGCATTATATGGACTGAAGCAAACTTCAAGAGCATGGTATGACCGTCAATGTAGTATTTCCATGACAGGTCAATCCAATATAAATATTACTCCTAATATTTATACTTATGTGAAAACTTGATATCTCATATTCATAACATGTGAGATACAATCATCAGTTTACTCACATAATAGTTTCTATGCATTAATGTTGCCCTATTTGAAAATAAAGTTTGACTACAAATACTTTAAGAATAACATCCTTATTTTTATTAAGGTTTCACGATTAAGTCACACTTAATAGATCATCAAACAAAGTAATTATTCTGAAGACTCTATTATGTCATATACATGTAACGTAATAAATACAATGCCTAATATATATATATATATATATATATATATATATATATATATATATATATATATATATATATATATATATATATATATATATATATATATATATATATATATATATATATATATATATATATATATATATATATCATCAAAGTCATGATACAAAAGCAAATACAATCAATACTAATTGTCTACTAAGGCTTACTATAACAGAAGGCTCACCAGGTCATGTCTGTCTATTTGTCTGAGTGACCTAAGTATTGTAGAAGTAATAAAGTAGCTTAAAAGTCACTAATTTAACTTAATTGATCACCCACAAGCTACATATGTTCGCCTGGATCCCTTTTTATGTCATAATCACTCAATTTGAGTGGTTTCTCAATAGACTCTAAAATATTTCTCTATAGTATTATTAATGACTGCAGGTGTTTTAGTTGCACTTTTCCCAGAGGAGTTTCTGTCTGAGTTAGAGAAGGAGCATGACTGCTTCGGTCTCTACCGAGGCCAGAAGGAGGAGTCTAATACTTCTTTATTTTACGCCGGTCCTTTGACTAAGGAACCTCGTCACTAAATTAACTTAATTATCACCCACAAGCTATATATGCTCGCCTGGATCCCTTTTTATGTCATAATCACTCAATTTGGGTGGTTTCTCAATAGACTATATAATAGTTATGTATAGTATTATTACTGACAACAGGTGTTTTAGTTGCACTTTTCCCAGAGGAGTTTCTGTCTGAGTTAGGGAAGGAGCATGACTGCTTCGGTCTCCACCGAGGCCAGAAGGAGGAGTCTAATACTTCTTTATTTTACGTCGGTATTTCGACTAAGGAAACTCATCTCCTTTTCTCTCAGCTGGCTCTAGAATGGCAACACGAGTCTTCTTTGAAGCAACTTCTTGAATTGTATTTTTGCAGGTGGGAGCGTGGTGATTTCCAAGAGCTGAACCCTTGCTTCAAAGGTGTGTGAATTTTGATGTCCAACAAAGTTAAACATGTTGTTCAATAGTTTGTTAGGACCTTGCATATCAAGGGTCTCTTGGAGAGTTTGAAGGTCAGACAAGTCTTCAGGTCATATAATCGAAAGCGGAACAGGAGTTTCCATTGGATTTGCTTGAACAAATTTGGTTAATTGCGAAGGTGGAACTAGATCTGGATGCAGCGGAATGACCATTTCAAGATCTATGTTGTTTTGCGGCAAAGAAAAAAGTGGTTGATTTCTAAATGCTAGAGTAACAACAACAACTTCTCTCGCAACAACATATATGGTAGCCTTATGTCCAACCATCACAGATTTGGAAGTAAGAACTAAGAATCTAAAGACACAAGGAAATGAGTTTTGAGATAATGCTGAATCAAATTAAAACACTATAAATTCTCGTGTTTCAGTGCAAATACTTCCTCAGACGATCAAAAGAAGTTACGAATTGCGAAAGTTAGAGAATGAATGGGAATTCGTGAAAATCTTAGGGATCAACAGTCGATTCCCATTGACAATGTCACTGTTCTATTTTAGAACCAAAGGATGAAAAGTTAAATAGCGGTGATGGTAAATTGTAGCTTCTCATGCGGTAGAGTGGGAGACGTGTAATGTTAACACTACAACACTCAAGTCAGTATGTGAAGAAGAAAAGTAAAATTAATTTTTATTTGAAACTTGTTACCTCAATTTAACGTCTACTTTATATATGCATGGAAGAAGAATAAGAAACTAGATTTTTGCTCGCTATCCTTTGCAAAAAGTCGTTATATGTGCTTTATGGTTGAAAATTTTAAAATTATAAAAATGATCGTTTTCTAATTCTAAAAGAAATAATACCCTTTCTAATAATTGGTTGAAATTAATCTGGTTGATCCAAAGTGCTCCATTTAAAAAAATTGTTCAACTTAGTATATTAAATTTTATGTATACTATTTGTTTATAAATTATATAAAATTATTAAATTTAAATAGAATTTAATTGATATGTATCGACAGTGTAAATTTTTTTTGCACTGTCAACTAATTATTATCATGTATTCTGCCACATCACACTGTACATTTTTAGTTATTGATATGACATGACAAATTTATACATTTCTAATAGTATAAAATTATTTTATACTATTATTAAATATCAATTAAATTTATTTAAATATTCAAAAATAAAAGAAAAATCAAATTTGCCTATAACATCCACGTTCTACATTAATTTTAACATACAAATCCGTTCAAATCTATTCGAATGAGACCTCACCAAAAACACGTGTACACGGATCCCGAGATAAAAAATTCACAACTCTACCAAACCTAACTAAACCATGGTTAAAAGGGGCTGGCCCATATCAAACCATAGTTCATAGTTGACAGCACGATCCACTGAACCAAGATCTTCATCCGAGCCAACACGTGGACGGCTAGATTTCATTTCAATTGCCTTTGCGGTTGGTTATTATTAGGCCAACGTCAAATTAGGGTTCTTACGAAGCAAAGGCACAAATCTTCTCCAAATCGATTTTCTTTCATCAAATTTTTCTCAGAACTCTTCGCACCTTTTCAATCATGGAGATGGAACGCGTCTTCGAATTTCCTCATACTCACATGGATCGGCGTCCTAGAAAGAGAGCGAGACTCGGCTGGGATGTCCCCGAGGTTCCCAAGGTAATTTTGATCCCTTTTCCTAAAATTTCAGATCTGATTGTGTTTTGTTGCTGTTATATTTTTCTGGTTATAGATCTGATAGATTTTGTGTATATTGTGTATGTTTTATTCAGGTAAATTTGTTTATTTTATCATCAAGGATTTAAGTTAGGATTTTTATGTTTTATTTGATGGATCTGTTATGTTTTGTTCTTATGATTAATTTTATAGAACTGGATATGGCTGTTTATCACGCATCTGTTTTTATTTATCATTAATTTGCTTGTGTTTGTGGTCGCATAAATTCACTTGGATCTGTCTAGAGTGGATCTGATGGTTTTAACATCGAGGAAATTTGTTAACTTTTTATTTTCTTCAAATTTTTATATTTACTAGAAGTTTTGTATTCACATGATTCTGTCTGTTTAAGCCTTTATCAACTCTATCATAAATTGACAATTTTTTTAATTTTTAGGTATTTTAATCTTCAGATGATAATATTAATATACCTTCTAATATTTTAATGTTATAATTTACCTAGCTCATGTTTTTGGAAATTGAAGAATGAATAAGAGGTTAATTCTGATGTGAATCTGAAATGGATGTTTTGAATACTCTGTTAATTGTGACTTTAACTAATACTTGTATATGTGCATATTTAATTTCTTGTAACGATCTGAGATGATGACAAGGCTCTTGGTAGGGTTTTTCTGTGGGAAATTTTTGTTTTTTAACGGTTAGTGGTGCATGAATCGATGGCTGTGTGTAGGCTCAGGTAGGATTGTTTTTTGGACAAGATGTTGGGAATATTTCGATCTATGCTCCTTCAGGGGTTTCTTCAGAACATACCACTAGTTCCCCACTTGTTAAGGGTGTTGCTCGAAATGGTTCACCCCCTTTGCGAGATGATGACAAAGATGGCCATTACATGTTTGCTGTTGGAGAAAATTTAACTTCCCGCTGTAATTACACTTTACCATCATTACAATATTTACCTTCATATATCTCTTGGTTAAGTCCTAGTTTATTGTTTTTCTGTCATGTTCTGCAGTTATTTGCTTACAAGACACAGCATTTTCATGCATCTTCTTTTCTGTATTTATTTTTATAGTTTTAAATGTATTTTATAAATGGCCATTTTAATTTTAAATGCTCCTTGGTATATTGAGCATTATATAATCCAATTCAGTTGTCTTTTCTTAATTAGCTAGGCTTGCATGGTTTACACTTTTTTTAATGGTTGCAGATAAGATCCACAGCAAAATGGGTGAAGGAACTTTTGGGCAGGTATTGGAATGCTGGGACAGAGAGAGGAAGGAAATGGTTGCCATAAAAATTGTCCGTGGAATTAAAAAATATCGGGAAGCAGCCATGATAGAAATTGAGATGTTGCAACAGCTTGGCAAAAATGATATAGGAGGCAATCGGTAAGTTATAGCTTTGTTTTGTCATATTCATAAATATTTGATTCATTTGCATTGGTTAAATTGTCTTATTCCTTGCAGTTGTGTGCAAATACGGAACTGGTTTGACTATCGTAATCATATTTGTATTGTAAGTATTTGATTGATTTGTGATGGGTTGATTTCCCCAATATATAATTTGGGGGTTAAGATGTGAGTGAATTTAAATGGTTTAACAGGTGTTTGAGAAACTTGGGCCAAGCTTATACGATTTTCTTCGGAAAAACAATTATCGCTCATTTCCCATTGATCTTGTCCGTGAGATTGGCAGACAACTATTGGAATGTATAGCATGTGTGTAGTATTTACTTAAACTAGCATCCCTTTATATTTTCATACATTTCACTTTGTTATGTGTAAAATAATCAGCTTCATACTAATTGATGATAGTAATTCATTATATTATTTGTGCTTAGTGTTTCAAATTTGTTGTGGAATAATCATTAAACTTTTGTTGTTTCTCTAATTTTTTTATTTTGTAAATTCTCAGTTATGCATGATTTGCACATGATTCATACTGATCTGAAGCCTGAAAACATACTCCTCGTTTCACCAGACTATGTCAAAGTTCCTGACTATAAGGTACATAACAGATCTGCACTTTTTCCATTCTCTAGTGTTTGGATGCACTACCTTTAATTCTTTCAAACTAAAGTGACACCTGTGATGCACAGCTTATACCTGAAGATGTAATCACCATTAATTTTAGACACCAGTCTGTAGCTTAAGTGCATATTAGGAATGCTAAATATTGAAACAATTAACCCAGCATGGTTTAATCAATCTATTACATCTGTTGTTTTCTTTAACAGATTTCATCTAGATCACCAAACTCATATTTCAAAAAAGTGCCCAAGTCTAGTGCTATCAAGGTTATTGATTTTGGAAGCACCACTTATGAGCGAGTAGATCAAAGTTACATTGTATCAACTCGTCATTATAGAGCACCTGAAGTTATTCTTGGTATATATTAAACTAAATACCGTGTATAGGATTCTTGAATAACATGTATATAGGATTCTTGCCTTTGTTATTCATAGGATACCAGCCATCTCAGCCAATTAATTATTCTTGATGCTCTGTATTGTAGGTCTTGGCTGGAGTCATCCATGTGATATATGGAGTGTGGGGTGTATATTGGTTGAGTTATGCACGGTATGCGCTGCTCTTTGGAAACCCGTCTGTAACACATTTGTCAATCTTTTAAGTTCTGACATCCGAGCTCCTAATGCAGGGTGAAGCTTTATTTCAGACTCATGAAAATTTAGAGCACCTAGCTATGATGGAGAGGGTTCTTGGTCCACTACCAATGCATATGTTGAAGAAAGTAGAGTAAGTGTGCTACAATAGAGACCAAACTTCAATTGTTCATTTTCTTATCACAATATGATGACAGTATTTTGTTGTATATGTTTAGCCGACATGCTGAGAAGTATGTCAGAAGAGGTAAATTAGATTGGCCAGTGGGTGCAACCTCAAGGGAGAGTATTAAAGCTGTTACTAAGCTTCCTAGATTACAGGTTTGTTAGTTTCTGACTTGAATAGCCATTTCTTTGATCTATTTGAATTTATTCCTGATCTTTTTTTTCTCAATCAATATTTGCAGAACCTTATAATGCAGCATGTTGATCATTCAGCCGGTGACCTTATACACCTACTGCAAGGCTTACTTAGATATGACCCCTTTGAAAGAATTACTGCTAAGGAAGCCCTGAGACATTCCTTTTTTATGAGAAGATCACATTAGATGACTCACTATTACTGAACGAGATTATGTTGAAACGCCAATTACTCATAGATGCCTCATGCGGCCTAATCATCAGCATCACAAGAGTTGGGTGCCAATAGTTGCCCATGCCTGTGTTGTGTTAAAATGGCAACAGGTTAAAAAAGAAAGCCATATAATATAGCCCTGAACTTTTTCATCTTAGTTTTGTAAAGGATTGGCGGCCCTTAACCGGCTGTCTGTTCTTATTTAGAAAACTAGTGTTTGCATACTGACTCATATGAATTCAATGTACAGAAGATAATTGCAACGTAACATTTAAGTTAGATTAAAAAGTTTATATTTTCATACTTGTGGGAATTATATAGCGTTTGTTTGAGTGTATAAGATTTTGCTATGAAGATTAGCATAACTAATTTAATATGACATATAGTTTCCCAAGAGCTGTATATTTAAGCGTTTCCCAAGAACTGACCCATATGAATTCAATGTACAAATGATAATTGCAATGTAACATTTAAGTTAAGATTACAAAGTTTATATTTTCATAGTTGTGGGAATTTTTTTAGCGTTTGTTTGAGTGTATAAGATTTTGCTATGAACATAACTAATTTAATATGACATATAGTTTCCCAAGAGCTATATATTTAAGAGTCATTTGAATTTGATGTAGGATTTACTTGGATGTATTTTCCACGTAAGTATGGAAGATCAACAAAGTTGGTGCAACTGACTATTAAAACTAGATGGAGGGCAAATATAAAACCAAATACCTAAAATTTAAAATCTAAAAATATTGTTAATTTAATTTTTATTCAAACTAGATAACCGTGTAAAAGAGATAAAATTTAAAGAAATGTCACATTTGGTCAAATATAGTTTTTTAATTTTATTTTACAAATTTAACATTGTTTGGGCAAATATAAAACCAAATACCTAAAATTTAAAATCTAAAAATATTGTTAATTTAATTTTTATTCAAACTAGATAACCGTGTAAAAGAGATAAAATTTAAAGAAATGTCACATTTGGTCAAATATAGTTTTTTAATTTTATTTTACAAATTTAACATTGTTTGGAAATCATTTGTATGAATCCAAGTAGAGACAAGAGATATAATTCAAATTGTTTTGTGCTAAGCCACATACCTAACGTTGAGTACAGTTCAATCCGACCCTACATCGAGGACGACTCATACTCATAATGTTGAGTATAGAGTAAAATATTATTTTCATTAAAAAGCCATAAAAAGACGTACATTTTTCAAAGTCAACAAAATTGGTCAATACTCCGTAACACACGGGTTTTCTCAAAATACATCAAAACCCGATGTTACATATCAGAGCAAGACCCTCTACATTAACCATAAAGGCTAACGACTCTAAACTTCACAATACTCCCCGACGGCGTTCACGACTAAACTTGCTCATCTCCATGTTATCCACGTGGAGCTAACATTCAAACAAACAGGGTGAGTAAGACAATTCATAATAATCAATGTATAACAATTAATGCATAAACGACATATTACTCATAATTACATTCAACACATTGATATCCTTCAAATATGCCTCACAGGCCATAACGTCATAATTCATACACAAAGACTAATAGATGCAATGCAACACAACTCAATGCATGTGGTACCAATCATCACAGCGCGATGGACACTGGGCCATCAACCCTCGATAGATCCCCATCAATAGAATCGAAGCACATCAAAATACTTCACATCCACACAGTGGGATTGAAGCCAAAGTAATCGAGGTTCTGAACCGAAGTCCGGATGCACATGAATGCATGATGCACACGTCACAATAATCCTCATAATAACAACATATGGTGCATCATCATTCATCATATTCATCATACGTCATAACTCATCATATTAATCATCAATACAACATATCGTCATAATTCATCATATTACTCATCATGCAACATATCATCATAATTCATCATATTATTCATCATACAACATATCATCATAATTCATCATATTAATCGTCACACAACATATCATCATAATACATCATATCATCATAATTCATCATATTAATCATTCTCACACATTATGTCATCATATAATCACGTATAAATCACATATTAGCTCATAGTCATATTATCCCATGTTATCCCATATTAAATCATAATACTACCCCCATATCATCTCATATTAATTTATCAACTTATACTCACGATAATTCTCACACTATCGCCAATCAATCACATAAACTTCACAGTTCTACTCATGTTAATTCGTCATATCATCACATAGTATTCACATATTAATCCCTAATATCATCTCACATTGCCTCATATTAATCCATCATAATTACACTCGCGGTAATCCTTATACTATCACTTATTACTCATGCAACCTCACTGTCATACTCATAGTAACTCATCACAGAAATCCCAGAATCAAACATCACGACATTGCTGCACACGATCAATATTCGCGAACTCTGCTACGTTCGCTGGCTCGCTCGCTAGGCGAGTTGGTAGCGAGCCTTCGCTGGCTTGCTTTCTAGGCGAGCCTGTAGCGAACCTTCGCTGGCTTGCTCTCTAGGCGAACCTGTAGCGAACCTTCGCTGGCTTGCTCTCTAGGCGAACAGAGCGATGACATCAAAACCCGTTATGCACCATAACTGATTTCTACCCCAAAACTCATATGATTCACATACCCAATGCCCCCAAAACATCATTAAGACATACCCAATGTCATACAACGATAACGACACCAAATCTATGGTTTATTAGGCCAATCTAGCAACATTTGCACTGCCTAAAATACTATTTCCTGCAATTGCTCTGAGTGTGTCAGAGTTACTCACATTCGAATATTCTTATTCCTACAGGGTCAACCATATCACAATCCAAGGTTTTGGTCACGAAGGCCTAAGGTTTCCTTTCTCATGTTACACATCAAACAGTCCGATAAGGTTTCCTAAATTCATGTCAATATTCAGGGATACATACCATCAATCATAACCTCAAGGTCTATTCATCAATTTCCCCAATTCTCCCAAATCAACCCAACATACTCTAAATCATAAACCCCACCATAAACACACCGAAAGGCATACATAGAAAATCATGAAAGGTGATACTCCCCATACCTTAGCCGATTCAAAGCTTTCACGATTAACTTCAGGATCTTCCGAAGCTTTTGCCTCCACTTCTCCCTCCTCAGAGCTCTGGCCTCATTCTTTTCACGGTTAACCAAAATGATTCCTCCACCTTCAGAATTCTATTTTGTCAAACTTAGACTTGGGCCACACAATTGGGCTTTCCCCATAATACCCTTACTAACTCTTCATAATACCCAATTTACCCTTATTTCTCTTATATTCATTTTAATCAATAATAATACTAATATTCTCATATATAGTATACTATTAACTAAATAAATAGTCCAAAAATGCACATTTTCTCAATAATCCACAAAACCACCGAAACCATCCAAAATACGAATATTCTCAATTAAATAAATAAATTAAAATATTCTGATTAAACTTGGGGTGTTACAACTCTCCCCCACTTAAAAGAATTTTCGCCCTCGAAAATTACCTCAAGGAACAGAGTCGGATACGACTCCCTCAACTGATCTCCAAGTTCCTAATTCCAACTTTCTCTAGTTGGTCCTCCCAAAACCACCTCTTCTAGGAAATCTCTTTACCTCAAAGTTGTTTCTCGTTCATCAATCCGAACAAGCAACGCCTCAACAGTCGAATTATCTCTCACTTGTACACCATCCATCCGAATAAATGCACTTATTCAACTTAGGCACATGCCACATCATGTAAATTCACAAGCGACAACGGTAAAACAGTCTAACATGCTACTTCTCCCACGCTTCCGCTGCGCCACTTACGATATAAATCAACAAAACACAGTGTGTGCTTCCGAGACTTCCAAGCTCGACCAACACCAGTCACCATCGTAACTCTCAAAACACGTCTTGGATCTTCTTGATCTTTTTAGTCGTCTCTTACACAATTCTCAGGTCCGAGCACAACACTCTCGCCTGAATCATATCAACACAAAGGAGTCCTACACCTTCTACCATACAAATCCTCATACGATGTCATTCCGATAATAGAATGCTAACTGTTATTATAGGTAACTCAATCAACGATAATTAACTATCCCATGATCCACCTTGATCCAACACACAAGCTCTCCACAAATCCTCTAAAGACTGGATAGTTCTCTCTGTCCGTCCATCCGTCCACGGATGATAGGCAGAGTTCAACTTCAACATGGTACTCAAAGCGTCTGCAAACTCTCCCAAAATCTCGATGAAACTCAGATTCCCATCCGACCCGATATTCGACGACATCTCATACAACTTCACAACTTCATCGATATACATCTCAACTAGCTTCAACATAGAATGATTAATCCTCATTGGTAAGAAAATAGCCAATCTATCCGAAATCACCCAATTAAAATCATATCCCTCCAATTCTTCGGAAACCCAACACAAAATCCATGGAAATACTACCCGATTTCCACCCTGGAATATTCAACGGTTGCATCAGACCAAACGGTCTCTGACGTTTATTCTTCGACTTCCGACAAGTCTAACCAGCATATACAAACTCAACCACTTCTCTCTTCATCTATGGCCATCAAAATAATTTCCTCAAATCCGGTTACATCTTCATAGCACCAGGATGAATACTCAATCTACCTCAATGTCCTTTTTCAATAATACTCTTATTCCAACTCAACAATATCTGGGACACAAACTCTATCACGACATCTCCTAGTACCATTTCCATAAATCCGCAAATCAACTCTTCGACTTTAATTCATCAAATTCCACCAATCTGCCAACTAAATTCAGATTTATAACCTTCTTGAATCTCATCAAGAACACCACTATTAAGTTCCAACATGCTAAGCTTAACTCCATAAGAAGTCTCTTCACACACTAAGCTCATATCACAAAATTGCTCAATCAGTTCTAACTCTTTTCACCATCATCATCGGTATATGCAAAGATTTCCAAA